GAGAGGAGGGGGCCTGAACCAGGGTGGGGGTGGGGCAGAGGAGAGGGGGGGGCCTGAACCAGGGTGGGGGTGGGGCAGAGGAGAGGGGGTGGCTTTTCTTGGAGAGACAAACCTCGATTGCAGATTGGCTATTTGGGTATGGGGTGAATGGAGAGCTGAGGATGATAAGATTTGAAACGTGGCCCACTGGCAAGATCGTGGGACCGTTGATAGTAATGGGGAAATTGGGAGCGGGGGAGGGTTTCATGGAAAAGCCAGTGAGTTCTGCTCTGGACAGGTTGAGTGTGAGATGCCAAGGAGACATCTGCCCTGAGACGTCCAGGAGGCATTTGAGAGGTGAGGCCGGAATTCAGGAGAGAGATTCCGGTTGAGCCGAGATGGGCTCTCAGTATTGAGATGAAAGGCGCCCGTGAGAGCTGACGAGATTGAGTGAGGTGGTCTGTGGGGAGTGGAGAGCCCAGAAGGGAGCTTGGGGGCACCCCCATCTAGGGAGCACAGCGATCTGGCCTCATCTGAAACAGGGGGAGATTGGACTCGGTGTCTGAGTCTAATCACCTTGGAGATGTAGGTGAACGGGCACTTTTGGGCCCGTCGTTCATTAGCCAAAAAAGGTCGCAGGTGGGAAGGAAGCTTGGCGACATCTAGGCCAACATCATCAGTTTGCAGGTGGATGATGCGGGTGCCCCTGGCACAGCACCTTGGAGCTCAGGTCCCTTGAGGCCCTGTACCCCCTGGCCTTTGTCATGCCCCATCACCACCCTGTGTACTTCCCACCCCCGGGATTCCACTTCTTGGATCCTTTCCTGTCCTTCCTTTGTCCCATAATCCCCAGGCTCTCTGTTCTGCCCTTCACATGTGAGGTTCCAAGTCAGGATCGCCGTTGGAGCAGTCCTGGTCTCCTCCAGCTTTCTAGTGCCCTGATCCCCACCTGGTGCACTCTTCTCTCAGAAGTGAGGGGCGCCAGAAGACTTGGGCTCCCCTAGCAAATGAGGGGGTGAAGCAGCATCGGCTGAGTCTCCTCTAGGGCTTTGTGAGGGTGATTTTAATGGGATTAGAGAGAGGCTAGGGGGCTTCCAGGCCGGGGCTCTGACTGCCTCACTTTGCCCCTGAGAAAATGGCAGAAATTCTCTTTCTAAAGGAAGACTTGAGTCTGCCCGTCATCCTCCATTGAGGCTAGGGGTGTCTGGGGGCAAGGCCTTTGCAGAAATGAGGGCTAAACAGGCCTGTTTTTTGAAGGGTAGCCCGGTGCCTTCATAATGTTTGGGGACCTGTTTGAAGAGGACTTTCCCTACATCCCAGAGAATCACCTCGAGAAAGGAAGGAAATCCAAGTGCACGGAGCCTGAGCCGCCACCCCCCCGGGGCATCACCAACCTGAGTGGCATCCAGAACCAGGGCGGGACTTGCTACCTCAACTCGCTGCTGCAGACTCTCCATTTCACCCCAGAATTCCGAGGTAGGCACCTTACAAACACGTTTATTCCCGTCATTCCGTCCCCATGGAAAGTCAGACAAGCGTCCCGTCAAGGACACTGTCCTCAGAGGATCTGGCTGCCAGTCCTGCCCAGGTGGCTTAGGGAAGGCCTCTCATCACCCTTGGCCTCAGTTTCCTCACCTGTAAAGTGAGGGGGTGGGTGTGATTGTCTCTGAGGCCCCTGCTGTCTTTCCATCCAGGATCCTGTTCCCAGGGACCATGCCTACATCTTTGGTGGTCTGTGCTGGGTCAGAATAACTCTCACATCTCATTGTTGAGTAAATTAGATGGGGCCTTCACTGTTAACATCAGTCAACTATTATAACATCTAAAGTAACCGAGGCAGGGGGTCATTGCTGTGGTGGCTGTGGTTAGGAGTGTTTTGGTAACCCCGAAACAAAAGAGAAAATTGAGGCTACCTCTCATGAGCTGATGATGGTCTCGGGTGGGAGGGGTCCCAGAGCTAGGAACTATCCAGACTGTAGCTGTAGCCAGGTGTCTCGTGGCTTGAACCCCCCGCGTGGCTCCTGGGTTGGCTGCTGCCCTCGGAGCCCCGCGGGGGCATCAGGGCAACGTTGAAGAGCGGCGTCAGGGCAGCGGACAAAGAGAAGTTGGAGCCAGCAGGAAGAGGATTTAGAGTTTAGGGTCATCACCAAACGACCAGAATGAGCCTGATCTGGACGGCGAAAGGCCTCCTTGTTAGCATCCGGCACTGCCCTCCCGGCTGCAGGTTTGCTCTCACTGGCTTTGACGTAAACTCAGGGAGAGCCTAAAAGAGCAGCGATGCCCCTGGAGCATGTATGCTGAAGCTGCTGTCACCGAGAGGCTTCCCTGGGGAGAGCGGGCAGCGCGGGGGCCCTTCTCCAGACCCCTTCTCAGCATCACGTTTTAAATGATAAATGCAACAAAGCAGAGTACGGAGGATGACAAAGGGAGCCCAGAGATGGGCAGAAATCACGAAGGGATTGTTTTCCCCATCCCTGGAACTGACCTGGACTCCTGGGCTGGCCCGCAGGGACGTGGGGCCCTGCTCTTCTTCTTTCTGGGGCTCCCCGCTGTACTCCACAGGGCACAGCCAGGGCAGCTATCCCCAAGTCCTTGATAGGCAGGCCTTCTTGCCTCTCTCTCCACTTTCCCACCAGATGCTGCCATAGCGGTGCTGTGGGAGCTTGCACGCACATTACACACACACACACACACACACACACACACACGTAGGCACCCACCCACATTATACACACGTGCACACACACACTTGTACTCACACGCTCGTACTCACAATCGCACTCACACTCAGACACTTGCACGCACACTTACAACGCACACTTGCATGCACACATACATGCGTGCACACACACACTCACATGCACTTGTCCACACACCCATGTGTATACACACTTACACACATGGACACACGCACACACACACGTGTACTCCCACACTCGCACTCACAATTGCACTCGCACTCAGACACTTGCTCATGCACTTACATGCACTCACACATGCACACTTGCACACACCGACACATTCATATGCACTTGTTCACACACACGTTCACACTGATGCACACAATGCATATACACTTGCACACAGACACATGCGCACACGCACGGACACACGCACACAGTGCATACATGCTTGCACACGCGCACACGGACACATGCACACACATATGGATGCACCCACACACACTCGTGCACACACACGTACACACACACATATATGCATGTGCGTGCATGCACACACACTCAGAGCTTTACAGTTACAAAACCTACCTTTTCTCCTTGGTTTCTCACCATACAGTGAGGAGGGCAGTGATTTGAATCGCAGAGGCAGGGCTGCAGCCCCTCTCGGGAAGGTCTCCAGAGGCAGGCTCGGCGCTGTCCGTGGTCCTGAAGGCCGCTAGCTGGGGGAGGGAACGCTCCTCGTTGGAGAGCTTCGTTGATGCCGGAGGACTCCTCTGTTTGTGTATGGGCCAGTGGGGCCTCAGCAGTGATGGGAATCTCCTTGTTGGGTTAGGCTCTGGGAGGGAAAACAGTTTTCAGTTCCTGGGGCTCTCCAGGATAGAAGATTGAATCCATTTTCCTGAGCCTTCTTTTCTCTTCCTCCTCAGCCCCATTAATTCCAAAGGCAGCTGGGTGCCCCGGTGGATATGGTGTTGGCCCTGGAGTCAGGAAGACCTGAGTTCAAATCCAGCCTCAGACAATTCCTGGCTGTGTGACCCTGAAGATAATGATCATTGCCTAACTCCCAGGGTGGTTGTGAGGATCAGATGAGGATGAGATGATATTGATAGTGCCCTTCACAAGCGTCGAAGCGCTACCCGCCTGCTAGCGGTTAGCATCGCCATCTTCCGGAAAGGGAAGCCCGCTCTGACGCTCCCATGAGTAGCAGTGTTTGTTCTGACGGGTTCCAGCCGCGTCAGGGACAGACGCGGGCTCCATCCTGGGGGCTCGGGGCCAGGCAGAATAACCTGGTAGGAGAAGCTGGAGTCTCGCCGTTTCAGGGGTAGTGTTGCTGCTGCTCCGCTCCTGTGGGACTAGTCGTGGAAGCGGAAGGCCCACGGCCTCCTAGATCTCGGGCCGTCTTGTGCGGCCCTCGTTTTACAGGGGACGAAACTGAGGGCCGAAGAGGGGCAGGGACTGCGGGTCGGGATTCTCGCCTGAGTCTTGGGAACTCCCCCCTGCCAGGAGATGCTCTTGCACAAAGAGATTTGGGGGTGACAGATGAGAACTTAGCCCTGCAGGCTCCTGAAGGAGAGCTGCTCATCCCTGGGTCAGCTGCTCCCCTCGGAGACGGTCTGCATAGCCACCTCACTCTCTTATTCCTCTGTGTGTGTCCTCACTGCCTTTTCAGAGTGTTTTATTTTTGAAATTGTGTCTCCTTGCCACGCGGAGGCTGTGGCTGAGGAGATCTCTCCTCTCCCCCCCACCCCCCAACCCCTGTAGCCCTCCTGGGTCTTGAAGGTGGCTGAGGTTCTCCTTTGCCTTTTCTTTGCAGAAGCTTTGTTTGCTCTGGACCCAGAAGAGCTCGGATCCTTAGAGGACAAGGATGACCCCGATGCGAAGGTACCAGTCCGCCCTTGATTCCCTGAGCCTGCCAGGCAGAGCGCTTTGGAGGAGAGAAGGCGCTTATCCGAGCAGAGGACTGCCCGCTCCTTTTCTGAGCAGCCGGACTGATTTCCCGTCCTCCCCAGTGTCTGCCCTTCGCGAGAGCGAGCGCCGCACTGACCATCCCTAGACGACTCTTCTCAATTTAATCTGGCTACGCAGGCCCTGTCCTCCTTTCTTGTCCCAAGCACGGTATCTTCAGATCCTGTGTCTCCCAAATAGGAAAAATAAACGTGTCTGGCTTTGGCCTCATTGCCTGTCAGGGTGTCAAAGGCAAAGAGGCAGCTGATGACTTTCTCTTGCTTTTACATTAGCTCTCAGTGGGTTGGCAGTGGACCTGAGACAGACTCTGCGGCATTAATCTGAGGGGAACAAAGTGACGTCACCGAAGGGATTGGAATGAAAGGCCTCATTGGGCTTGGGAGGCCCGAGCGGCGATGCACCGGCGGCCCTGTGGCCGCTGCTTCCCCAGAGCCGATATTCAGAGCAGTTAAAGGAGAGAGCTCAGTGTCGCTGAACAGCCAGGGTTGGGTCCAAGACCCTGACGTTTCCTGAAGGCTTAGTGATCCTTGCCAATGAGCAGCCCGGACCCTGTTTGCTTTGTAAAAGCAGGCCCCTCCTAGGCTTCTCCCAAGGGCTTAGTTAGTGGAGAACCAGAAGGGACTTGGGATTAAATAGTCCAGCATAGAAGGCCTGGCCCAGCAGCACAGAATTTTAAAGCTGGAGGGGACTTTGGTCCCCCAGTCCAGCCTGGGTCCCCCCAGAGAAGCCCCTCTTTGACACACCCGTCAGGTGGCTGGTGAGAGGAGGAAGGCGCATTTAGGGAGCAGGTCACATGAAGACCACCTGGGGGGGTCTCAGGACTGCTGCAGGCCCATGGAGTCAGCATGGAACATGGCAGCCCTAAAGCTGCGCTCATTGTCGGCAGCGTCCAGGCTTTGGGAGGTGACAATCCGTACCCTGCTGTGGTTAGGTAGATTCACACTGAGGAAGGATGCTGACGGATTGAAGCATTGTCAGGAAGGGTGTGACTGCTGCTTCTGAGCGTCTCAGTGTCTCATGTGGGACTTAGCAGGCGAATGCAATCGAGATGTCAGCTCATGAAGGGCTTGTGTGCCCTGGGTGGGGCTGGCGCTCTGTCGACACCCAGTTCGGCCGTGTGTGGTATATACCCGCAGCTTTGAGCCTTCACTGCTACGTGTGTGTGCGTGTGTGTGCGCGCGCACGTGTGTGTGTGTGTGTGTCTTGGTTCATTGCAGAAGGGAGACCCCTGGGCCGGGGGAGTAGCCTTTATGGGCATGAAAATTAATCTTGTTCATAAAAAGTAATAAAAGGCATCTCACGTTATGTACGCCCTGATCCTGCCCTCACAGGCTGAGACCACATCTTGATGTTTACATCTCTGAGGCCAGCCGAGCGCATGGTTGTGCATTGTAGAGATGGGGGTAAGGGCTGTCCTGGGCCTTCGCCTTCCATGGGTAAAGGACGCTCCCTCTACGATGCAAATGGGCACCCGCTCTACAAATTATAGGCTTAGAAAGCTGCCCGCAGCCTTGAGACGTCACATGAGCTGCCAGCAGGTATCATAGGCAGGGCTGGACCTCAGCTCTTTCTGACCTTCTCTCCCTTTGGCCTGCCCATCGTAGGTCTCATTCCGGGGAGAGCACGGGGCCACAACGGCCAACTCCAGCACCGTCACTGACTCCCTTTTATGACTAAGGCCGTGGCGAGGCGTTGTGGTTACTGACTCAATGGAACTCTTCCCTCTCCTCCTCCAGGAGGGAGCCTGCCAGTTAGCCTAGTGGGAGCTGTGGGGCCTCTCCAGAGTGCCTGGTTACGCAGGACCCGCTGAAGGGGCATTTAATGACTCGGAGACAGTTGTTCTCTGTGGTTAGCAGCTGTGATTTCACTGGGCTCTGCGCTCATGCCCCCACAGCTGCCCCGAGCTTACCGTCTTCGTAAGTTGATGTAGCTGAGGAAGTCACTGCCCACCGGCCGGCGCTCTGGTGATGCTTTGCTAGCCTTGGCTCGTCTGAGCTCTCAATCTCCGGAGGCCCAGAGAGGGCACGGGGAGCAGAGGGCTGCCAGAGCCCCGTGTGCGTTTGATGAGTGGCCATGGGGAGGGAGCAGTGTCCCCCACCTGGTGTGTTCAGTGTGGTGCTAGAATGACCAGGTCCCAGGAGCAGCCAGTGCTGGCCCCGCCCTCCCTGTTGCCCATTTGCGTCGTCTGTCTCTGGGCTTGGGCTGGGCCCAGAGGTTTGCATTGTTTCTCTAGGGAAGGGCTGAAGCCATTGAGTCCAGCCCCTCACATTTTACAGATGAGGAAACTGAGGCCAAGCGAGGTTAAGTGACTCATTTGCTTGAGGTCTCAGCTAAACCGATAAAGTTCTTTGTGGATTTTTGGAGCTCAGATTTGATTTCCACTTGTGGGCCCTCAGAGCTTTTCCTGCTCGCCTAGGGGAGGAACCCTTGGACGATTCTGGCATGGGCGGGGGCGTAACGGGAGCAATGTGTGTGCCATCCCTCTAGGTGCGGGTCATCCCTTTGCAGTTACAACGGTTGTTTGCCCAGCTCCTTCTCTCAGACCAGCAGGCGGTGTCCACCACTGACCTCACCAACAGCTTTGGCTGGAACAACAGCGAGGTAGGTGTGTGCAGGGCGTGTGGGGCGCCAACTCAGCAGCCCGCTCTCTAGGCGCTGTAGGCGCAATGTGTGAGCAGAAGGGACGATGTCTGCACGCTGCGGGGGCTTCCTCTGATGGCGGGACGTCTTTGGCTTGTCGTTGGAACGTTATTTGGGCTTCCCAGGTTAGCCTGGGGGCACCTCCTCAGACCTTGCCTGGGTGGGTGCAGGCATGGATGCGAGGAGGGAAGGGAAGAAAGAAGAAATAACGGCCAGGCCCGGTCGGGCCAGGCCGAAGGGTCTCAGAAGGCTGGAGCCTTGACCCAGCTCTTAGAAGGTGGCCTTGAAGGCGGTAGGGGAAAGAGTAGAAGGTGGGGAAGCAGTTTGAAGCGACTTTCACAGCTCCCAGGAGCTGGGTTTGAGTTCTGTCTTGGATACATGGCAGCTGGGAGACTCGGGGCAAGGCTCTGGACCTCTCAGTGTTGCCAAGAAGGTGCCAACCTTCATTGGTCTCTGGAGAGAGCAGCAGCTGTGGCACCGGGAGCCATGGTTTCGTGTCCCGAGCTCTCTGGGTGACCTTGAGAAAGGCCCTTCCCTTCTTTGGCTTGTGTTTCCTCATCTGTGAAATGAGAGGGCTAGCCGGACAAATTCGCAGCACAAAACGTGTGGCCCTCCTTTCGGAGACACTTTGTGCTGATGGCCTGTGCACGCTTTGGGGGATTTCTGTCTTTTGAAACTGCTTATTCAGGAAGCCTAGAAAACTTTGGTACATTCTACCCATTCTACTGAGACTGAGGGAAGGGGGTGAGATGCCGGCCAGGCCTGGGATCTCCCAGATGAGGAAACTCCCTCTGCCAGTACAGATAGGCACCCTCTCTCATTCTACTTCATTGCCTTTTGTGGGGAAGAAAGCTTAATGACAGCAGCAGAGGAACTCAGAGAGGTCCTTCCCCAGAGTCCCTGGTGTGAGCTTTTCTGTCTGTGCCTCAGAGACGTGCTTGCCTTTCTTGTGTGTGCCCTCCCCCAGCCCTCTGTCCAGGCCCAGGAAGCCCCGAGGAGCCGCTGACTTTCAGTCTCTTCTCCCATGAACTAGTGGGGTGTGACCTCCACGCTCGTTCTGCCACTTTAGACTCGAGCTTTTGGCACCCTTGAGCCTCCTCTGCCTTTTGTTCTTTGCCTCCGCCAGGAAACGTTTACTTGTAAAGGCCCTTGTGCAGTGTCCTGTTTTGCTCTCTGTTGTCCTACCCATCCCAGATGACTGGTTCATTAAAACAGGTCCCCTAAGGCCCTCTCCCACATACGTTTTGTTACCAGGTGACTAGTTCATTAAAGCAGATTCCCTAAGGCCTTCTCCTGTGTGCACTTTGTTACCAGATGACAATTTCATTAAAGCAGGTCCCCTAAGGCCTGCTCCCACAT